TTGGAGACCTCTGCCTTAGAAAGTCAGTGATGCTCAATTTATTGAAGGATTGTGGTTTCAATTTTCAATTAAAGGAGCGATTGCCTAACATTGCATGCAAGACATTTATGGAATATAATTTTGATATCCTCCGTAACATCTAGTCTAGGGCAATGGGGTCATAATGGGCAAAAAAAAAAAACCAAGTGAATTTCATTAATGTTAAAAAGTCAACACTGCCATTTGCACATATGTCCAAAGTCCACATTTTTATTTGTTGTTATGCAGAACGAGTGTTTGTATGAACCTTATAAAGAAGTCGGACAGCTAGTTCTGGGGCAAGAATGTGGGATAGGACGACTGGAAACATTTAAAATCTTAACTTAGGGAAAAGTCATGAGCATTGATTGCTGCTTTTTTAAACATATCCCGGACTAGACTCCAAACCTACAAATATATAGCCCAATCACAAAAACAGCTGGCCTTAAGGCCTGTGTTTTTCCTTCAAGCAGTCAATTCCAGGCATTTCCAGAAAGAGAAGATCAACTTCCATGTGATGGAGAAGAACTTTTCAGCAGCCACTTAGCTCACAGTAGTATCAGACTAAAGGCATAAATAGCCTAAAATGGTAAAAAGCAACTTCCTGTGGTCTCTGAATATTGAACCCAAACTTTAAGGACATGAAACAGTGACAGGCATTTTTCTGCTCCTCCCCATGTGTGTTTTTTATTTCCTGGCCAGCACTTTTGGCTAATAAGAACTTAGGGAGCTGTGAGCCATCTAGGTTACGTTCTCAAACGTCGTCTGGAAGTGACCACATTTATTAATCACACTGCATAAAATACCAGCTCTCATTCACACAACCCATCTCCCAGGCCGTCTTTTTGCAGTTGAAGAAATGTCAGATAAGATGAAAAAAATCGGGGTGCTGCTTGTATTCTGATCCGAAGTCTTTTGATGCATTCGCTGGTTTTGTGGTACCCTCTGTGATCCCCCCACATCTCTTGAGAGCTGGATAGTTTCTGATTCCCCCAGATTAACGTAGTCCAGTTTAAGCAATCAACACATACCTAGTTGCAATCCCAAACTTGCAACCTCCTCAAATGGGAAATGTTGGAATCTTACACCAGCTTACATCTACACCAGTGGTTCTCAACCTGTGGGTCGGGACCCCATTTGGGGTCGAACGATCATTTCACGGGGGTCGCCAAACAAGGCTGTCCGCCATTATTTTCCCGTTTTCTTTGGCCACGCCCCTGGCACCCGGTGATGTATAAGGGGTTGGGGGTCACCACAACATGGGGAACTGTATTATGGGGTCGTGGCATTAGAAAGGTTGAGAACCACTGATCTACACCCATTCATGCCAGTTTGTGCAAACTTAAGTATACTGGTGAACACCTTGGGGCAGGTGCCTTTTTATGTAACCAAGTTCTTCCATATGACCCTTGAACAATAATATCAACCACAAAAACTTACATTCCACTCTGGCATCAAATTAGGTGAATCCACTTGGGATTCATTCCAGGCCCAACAACACTTGTGCTTGGTGACAAAAATGCATTACTTTCTTGTTCTACCTACTTTATCAAAACTTTTTCCAAAAACTTCTTACTCACGAGGAAGCCGAGTTTCCAAAGCTTCAAGCCATTTCCTTATTCTTGAAAACACTTGTATATTGAACACATCTGAGCATTAGTGAATAATGTGAGGGAACCACTAACTGTCTGGGAATTTATGGATTTTTTTTCCAACCTGAATCAGACACCAAAATTAAAATTCAACAATCTTGAGTTTTCAAAAATAATAAACACCATTTCTCAAAACATCATTCCTTTGCCTGATAAAAGAGCCTAATAATCTTTTTTTTATTTCTAAATGTTTTTTTTTAATTTCAAAAGGTATTCAAATTCAAAAATCTGGACAAAGCATTTTCCTTACACAAGAGGTTCCTTTTTTTTAACTTCAAGTCTTTTTTAACACGGTAAAAAAGTTACTTTTTTAACTCTTCTGCATTGATTATGTAAGGTCGATCATGTGTTTTTAAAATATATAGTAGCACTACCTCTGCCTTTTATGTACTTTCTGCATGATTTCTTCTAGTGCTTTCATGTTCTTACTTCCATGATTTTCCTGGTGCTGTACATTCAAAGCTGAGGCCAAAGATGTGAACATCATTTGAAAAACTTTAAGGGGAAACCCCGTTTTTTAAAAAATCTGCATCTTTCATTTCCCACTGTGGGTTTAATTTCAAATCATGATGTTCTTTTTAAAACAAAACGTAAAAGCACCTACTGTATTTTCAAACACTGTTCTCTATACAGGACAAGGGAGAACTATTGTAATGTTAAAAGTTTTGCAGTCCAGGTCAATCAAAAAACTTTAACACAATAGTTCTTTTAAAATACAAAAAAAGAGGAGGGAGTTTAAAACTCTGAAGCAAAACTTTGGAAGTTTACGTATTCCCAGGTTAAATGCAGACGAGTGTTTTTTTTTTTTCCTTTTTGTAACATGTATTTTATTTTGCAACCATCCAGTTTTTCCGTTTCCAAACAACACTGTTCAAGTTGGCTGAATCAACTACAGAGATTTAAGATACCCTACAAGCTGAGAAACTGCACTGCTCAATAGCACTATTGTTTAATGGCCCTAATTTAATTCCTGTTTCATAATTAGCTCCATATAGATGAATGGAAGCCCAATTAAGGATACTAATTTTTCTTACCACATAAATTAAGGTACATTGAGAAGCTTGTGTAAGCAAGCGATAGCAGTCAGACCCATATTCTATACCCAAATGACATGTATTTTTAAAAAATACATATGGTTGACATCATGCATATAATAGCCATACTTTCTCCCTCCCCCCCCTTGGTTTTAATGAAGAATGTATGGTTTTATTTTATTTTTTATTATTTTCCCTCCCACTATGGCACAAAGGGATATGACAAAGCATGAGGACTCAATCCAAGTTTCAGGATCCATTTTTATTTGCGGTTTTTGCTCTTGAGAAATATGGTCGGTATTCCTTCTTTCCCTTAAATTTATTAAGTGTATTTGTGACCAATTAAACCTCAAAACAACCTGCAGCAGACAGGAGCTTTTTGAGACAAGCAATCTGAAAATAATGTATATTTAAACAATTCCAGCATTGAAGAGAGGAATATCTGCCAACTAAGTTAAAGTTTAATGTCACTGTCTTGGGGGGGGGGAAATAGCTGCTTAGAGCAAAAAGGAATTAAAATGTGCATTTTTGTAAACAATACCCAGTCCGATGGCATCTGCCTTAGTTCATATGCAAATGTCCAACCAGATTAACTGATTTTACTCTTATCTCCAAGAAAACTTGTTTAGAGCTACAGAATTTTCTTCTTTCCTCCCAATCCTTTTACTATGAATTCCAATAAAACTTAAGATTATTTTTTTAAACGGAAAACATAAAACTTCTTCCACAGTGTGTGATTAAAGTTCTTTCCTTCTTCAAACTTAGCAAAAACTTCATACCTTCAAAATACCCAGTGAAAAACTCATGCTACTGATAAAGCACCCATTGGAGCATCATATTATCTGATATTATCAAAGCTTGATTATTCTACCGCCCAGCGTTAACTGAAATATTCACATTTAAAGATCTATCCAATTAGTATTTATCACCTTAAATGAAAGGCCAGTATCTTGAATTTAAATAAAATTGTAATCCTGACCATACTTACATAGAAGACCACTGAATCCACAAAAATACAAAAGATTAAACTATAAGTTTCAACTCAACATTTTTCTAAGACCAACATCTTGGCTCCTTAAAATCTGTGAACAAAACTAAACAAGCATGTTTTAAAAGCTGAAAAATAGCTTTAAAATGGAGTAGAGAATACTGCATTTCTATATTGGCTATTTGGAGCACTAGGAAGAAATCCAATTTCTGGTTTCTTCAAGTTATTAAAAAAGTTTCTCAAACATCCCAAACTCAAATAGAGACACCACAGGTCCAGTCTGAAACTTCAGCTACATAAGCTGTTACATCAACGGAAATCTAACTATAAAATGGTTAGGTGTGCAAAAAAAAGCAAACATCAAGTAACTGAGCTGTTGAAGGCCTTGTCATGAAAAAGATGCAACACGTTTGTACCTCTAAATAAAACAGAACTTAACTTCTGCTTGCTTTGGATTTGTAATATATCCCTTTGCGGTAGAATTAGCACCAGCTGTTCAAAAACAAGTCCTTTTCCCTTAAAAACATAGATACTTTTTTTTTGCTGATAAATTCTTCTCTCAAATAATCCTCAGAGAGGGATGATCTTTAAAGTTAAGCAAGAGAAGTATCACAAGCTCACAAGCAACTTACACAGAAGGATGAAGAAATAGAAATGCTTCAACACTGGGGTCTTCAAACGCTGGGTCAGCACCTCCACCTGCAAGAGGGGTCCTGATCCACTTCGAAAGTGGTCACATTTGTTTTTTTTAAAAAAGCACTACCCCAGGCATGCCAGGCCTTTTGCGATTTAATCAGCCCAATGAAGTTTTCTCCATAGGGGGGCTGCACATATTGGGAAGGGGGGGATCTGCTACCAAGTCTAAAATCTCTTATATCCTTACCGGACACCAACTCCCTAAAAAGCAAGTTATCCCGTGTACTTCGAGGTATTAAAAACCTATTTGCTTAAGGGTGTGGGTGAATTCCCCTACCTTTTTTTCCCGAATTTTTACTTAAATCCATCTTTAGGATTCTTGCAAATCGGGTGTCCCACCAGCCTGTTTCGAATTGCATTATCGGGGGGAAAAGCAACGACGGGAGTTTGGGGGGGGGAGGGAAACAAGGGAGGAAAGAGATGTGAGTTAGCGGGTTTTTTGTTTTCACTCGCGGATCCTCCGGGTCGTTTCCCCTTTCCAAGGGAGAAAAAGCGGCGGCGGCGAACTTCCTTGGCTCCGCGCGGTTTCTGCAAACTTCCCCAGGCGGGCGCAAGACTTCACCCTTGCCCGGCGCGCCTTCTCTGCAGCGCCCCGGCGCTTCGCCCGCTTACCTGCTCGCGCGGGATGCAGGGCAGAGAGGTCCTCCGGTGGTTCTTACCGCCGCAACCGGCCATCTCGGCGGAGATCACGGAACTGGACCGCCGCCTCCTCTTCAAGCCCGGCGCGTCTTCCTTGCCCCGCCGGGCGGCAGCGACAGCAGCGGCGGCGGCGGCGGACTCCGCTCCTTCCGCTCCTGGTCGGCTCTCCTCCTCCTCCCGCTTTCCGGAGGGGCGGCCCGACGAGGCGTGCCGCGCGCAGCTGGCCAGAAGGATGCCCAGCAAGCCCAGGAGATAAGCCAGGTAAGGGCTTCCCGGCGCCCGGACGCCCTCCAAGAAGACGAGCGAGCTCAGCCGTAGCACGCTACTCAAGGCCAGCATGAGGACGCCGTGGCGGAGCCCGGGCAGCAGCAGCAGGCGCCATACCCAGCCGGCCAGGCTGATCAGCCCCAAACCGGCGGCGGTGGCAGCCAATAAGCGGTCCTCCCCCAGCGTCGAGCCGACGAGCGCTTCCCCGCCGCAGCAGCAGCCGGCCAGGAGCAGGAGGGCGGTGCGCAGGCGGACCCCGGCGCGCAGCAGCTCCAGCCCCAGCCAGAAGTAGGCGGCCAGGAGGAGGCAGGAGGAGCAGCAGCACAGCGCGGGGCCGGGGAGCGGGGACCAGTTCTGCCCACCTGGGGGGGCCCCCTCGCCCGCTTCTTCTCGTCCTCGGATGCCCGGCCCCAGGCGGGTCCCCAAGGCCAGGAGCAGCGCCACCGACCCGGCGCCCACAACCCAGGGAAGTTTGCTCCTCTCGCAAGTCCGGGGAGACGCGCTCTCGACGCCTCCTTCCCGCCGGTGGCGGCTGCTGCTGCTGTTGCTGCCGGTGCTTTGCTTCACTTCCTTCGGCCCGGCTAAGCAGCCGTTGCAACCGGCTCCGAAGGCTCCCTCTACCGCCGCTGCTCTGGCGGCGACGGTTGCCGAGGCGGGCTCGTCCTCCCGCAGACTCCAACCGGCCTGAGTGGGGATCGCGCCGGCCGAGTCTCCGCTCGCGGCCATCGCGAGGGATCCTTTTTTCCCCCCTCCCTCACTCCCTCCCTCCCTCTCGGGGAGAGGGGGAAGGGGGGTAAGATTTAAAGCAAGATCGACCCCCTTCCTTAGTCTCCTTCCAATAATAAAGCGGCGGGCTTTGCACGGGAGGGAATTGCTGAGAAAAAAGTCCAGCTGTTTGCAACGCTGCTCGCAAGAGTTGGGGTTTTCGAAGTTGGAGCGAGCGAGGGATGTTTTAGCAGGCGCGGGAATCGGAGTTGCTGCGGCTCTGATCAAAGGGTTTAGAAATCCGGGAGACGTATTTCCAGGTTCTCCCCCAAAAAGAGGGTAGGAAAGAGACCCAACGCCTTAAGTCTCGTAAAAGCAGGACCTGCAAACCGCTGCCTACTCCAAAGAAAGGGCTGGGGAAACTGAGGCCGCGGAAAGGCGTCCAGGCTGCCGGGCGACGTGCGGACCGGCCGCGTGCTCTGGCCTCTGCCCCCGATCCTCTGCCCTGGCTCTGCGCGCTTCTCTCATGCCGCCTTTCTGCTGCGGCTATCCTTCCCGGCGAGGCCTCGGCGCCCAGCCGACGGGCGCCGGCGCCTCCCCCCCTCCCGGGCTGGGGAGCGGGGAGACGGCAACACCTCGTGGTCGAGTCTCACTGGGAGAAAAAGGGGAAGCAAGCGGACACTCCGAACAAGTTGCAAAGTTTTCGATCCTGCAAAAACGCGGCGGCGAAACACTCGGGAAAAAGTGGATCCGAAAGGGGCGGGGCGGGTGGGGGTCCCAGGAAAGTGGATCCTTGCAGGGGGAGAGGGGAAAGGCAAGTGTGGAGGGGTCACCAGCCCGGGATCTACTGCGGCGGCGGCGGCGGCGAGCTTCTACCCTCCGTTCTTCTCGGCGCGCCAGTGAGGAGGAACTGAGCCGGACGGCCGAGCGAAAGAAGCCGGAGAGCCAATGACTTTCCAGCTGGCTAACACCTCCGCCGCAGGCGCCGGGCCAGCCGCCGCGTCCTGCCTGGGAGGCTCCGCTGGGGGCTGCTTGCGCGCGCGTGCACGCGGCCAGGTGTGCTTCGGCTCCCTTAAGGGGAAGGGAGCCTCTTCGTTTGACCTCCTCCTGCAAGAGTCTCCAGGCTTGTCTGCAGTAGGCAGGCTAACGAACCGGTGTGAAACAGTACACAGTTCAATGAGGTGGAGTTGCGGACGAAGGAAAGCAGTTTTGCTATCTCGTTGACTCCGCCGGACAGCCGTTTGCAGCGGCCGCGGAGTCTTTGGGGCAGAATGAACCTCTTTAAGGCTGCCGTGTGCTACCTGAGGGGCCGATTCCCAGGGAACTCCAAAGGCTTTCTTCAGAGTAGAAGAAAAGGATGGGATCGTGTGGTCAGCTCGTTGACTGCGGTGGGATTTTGCACGATTCAGCTTCCAGTCGGTCACTCCTGTTAAGTGGCTGGGTTTTTTTGTGAAGTGTACCAAAAAGCACCCTTGTCTCATTCAGCCTAATGATGTGTTGGGTGAGCCTAGCCAGGAAATCATTTTGACTCTTAAGAGAGGCTGTAAAAAAAAAAAAAAAAAAAGCTCTGAAGCCAGCTGTCTAAACAAGTTGAATCTTAGTTTGTTAAATAATTTAGAATTGCCGAAGTTCCCAAAGTGCGCTAAACTATGGATCCTCGTTTCCAAGGCATAGTGGCTCTGTCACATAACATTTTTAAACCAAAATCAAGCCATATGACACCATCCAGTGGGTTTTGTGGGAGTTGGGGTGCAGTTTATCCTTCGATTTTAAATCTTGTGGAAGAGTTCTAGCACTGATTTTGTGTGGCTTAAACATAGCTGCCCAAAAATGCAGTTACTTAAGAAGTACCTAATACAAATTTAGCAGCACAATAAACCATAAACCATAGATGACTATCTAGTTTTGCAAAACAAAAATACCAAATTAGTTTTGGTACAATTACACTTAACATCTGCCCCTAATGCAGGAACCCAACCCACTTTGCACACTAAGCCAAGTATATTGCCAGTGACTTAAAACAATGTGCTATCTGAAAGTTAAGCTGCGATTAATCCAAACTAGAAACATCAATTTCTAATATATGAGGTGTTTTTCCCACTTCCATTCAATTATGTCCAATTCTTGGACAAGTCCCTGCATTTTTCTTGGCAGGGTTTTTCAGAAGTCATTTGCCATTGCCTCCTTCCTAGGACTGAGAGAAAATGACTGGCCCAAAGCAAAACCTATCCCTATCAGATCAGAAATATGCATCATTAATATCTTTTTTTTGCTTTTTTGGTGGTAAAATTTCCAATGAAGTAAAGGACATGAGACATTCTTCATGTCTTAAGTGTCTGGGACAAGTATGTATGGCTGAACATTTCCAGCAAGTCACCAAACACACATCCCTTTGTCATCTGAGCATGAAAACTTCACAATCAAAGTCTACATCAGTGCTGTGCAGTTATATATTTAACACACAGCAAGAGAGAGAAAGTGTTTGCCAGCATGGGCACACTAAAAGCTAATGCTTTTCCACCCCACAAAATAGGCCAGTGGTTTGAGGAATGTCGAATTCTTAATATTTATTTGTGTCTGACTTGATTTTTGTGTTGTGTTCACTGTCTGACCTTTTGGGTTTAAAAGGACTAGAGAGAGGCACATAACTATTACGAAAGTAGGAGTTTCAAGTAGAGCTTACTTAATTGGTAGATACAGTGATGATGAAACAAGGTGGCTTGCCAGAAGTACTGAATACACTTAACACGTTCTCAACTTCCACATGTGAACAAAACACTGCCTTATTAATCTGGTAGGATCCACTTGGTGCAGAGATGGTCCTTAATTCCTCTTCTAGATACAAGCACAATTTTACCAAATGAGGCTTGCACCAGTTTAGTATCATGCATGCACTATTGGCCAATTCAGTGGGGAATAATTATACAATCTGAACTTTGGGAATTCTTCCACCCCCCCCCCCAAAAAATGTGATTATTTCCTCTCCCTACCCCCAGCTGAGCATCAATACAAGATAGTGGAATAAATTTGACAAAGCACTTCTGTGGGCATAGGTGTTCATCTTTTTTTAGTTGCCAGCATAAATTAATAATGTATGAAATAAAATGGCTTTATACTTTTCCTTATAGAAACAAACAGGCATGAATTAAGTGGAAAATTAGGCTAGACTTGGGGGGGCGGGGGACAGGAATTGCTCAAAGAATTTAAATCTGCTGATATAGGTGGTAGACAATTCTGCTGGATGTAGTACTCAATGGCAGCAAGCCATAAATCAATTTTGAGCATAATTCATCTCTTTTAGGTAATCCAGTAATCAAGCGTGGCCAAATGTATGCATTAATATTCAATAAAATCCAAGCATTATACATAGGATAGGTCCATACTGATCAATAAGCCACAATTTGTCAACAATCATAGCAGAATTGCTACCTCATACAAATGCAAAATCTCAATAGTGATATGATGTTTTTCTTATATGCACATGACAGTTTTCTTCCTAGAGCTGAAAGAGAGTGACCACAGGTAGTCCTTGACTTACGACCACAATTTGGGGCCAGAATGTTCATTCCTGAGCAAGATAATTGTTAAGTGAGCTGCATCCATCTGCATGAACTGAAACATGCCGTGGTTGCTAAGCGAATCACTGCAGTTAAATGAATCACATAGTCGTTAATATGCAAATCCGTCTTTCTCAATTGACTTTTTTCAATGCCATTGTAATTTTGGTTGCTAAAAGAATGCTTCCGAGTCAAGGGCTATCTGCAACCCAAGGTCACCCATTTGTCTTTATGTCTAAAATGGGACTAGAACCCGTGATCTTCTGGTTTCTAGCCTGCGGGTTTAACACTACACCAAACTGGCTCTCAAATTTTCTTAGAAGCACCAAAAATGATGGCTTCATTTGTACTGGCTTTAAGAACCAGCCAGAAATAAACAAATAAATAAATATTGGATCATTATACTGATTCACATTACTTTGACATTTTGGTAGCCTATCAGAATTGAAGACTCTTTGCCCATCCTGAGATTTTGTTAAGGTATTTAAATTTAGTAGCTAGAGCAGCGGGGTTGGTGCAGTGAGCCAGAACACAGTTATATTTAATTGTTTGAAGAGTGTTGTCTCCTGCATGAGGCAATCTGTGCTGTGATTGGTTGTTGTGGGTGTAGAGGGGGGGTTCCCCTTTTTTCCCGCCTTTTTTTTTCTGTGTGCCCTGTATGCTCTGATTTACCTCATGATGCTCCTGTTATGAAACGTATGCAAGAAAACAAATATATATAGTTGTTTTCTTGCATACGTTTCATTATCCAAACTAGGTAACATCATCAGTGCTAGTCCTGATAACTGTTACCTAGTTTGAGTAATGAGACTTCTGCAAGAAAACAACCAAGCTCAGAGAGCACCAAGAATTCCTCAGATTTGATAGAATTGTTGTTACTTCAGTTGTCTCATTAGTTTAACTTTGTGGGGTTTTTTTTTTTTATAATAGGGCAGTGAAAGAAGCCTTGTTAATCCACATCTCACTTGTCTTCTAGACTTTTCCAACGTTAGGCAATTATTATTTTAGCTGCTAAAATTAAACTCACAGTGATGGATAATATTTCCTTATAATGCTGCAAATGAAGATTAAAAAATTCAAGTCCTTTAATACCAGCCATCTCAGAGCTGAGTCTCAAACTGTTCCGTTTTCCCATGGCTTGTGCATGAACGCTGGGCAGTGATTGCAGATTCCCATGTGATGGTGTATAGTGCGGAATGCATTGCCAGTTCCTTCTTATCATGTGTTGTGATGATTGCACTTGAAATAAATGTTATCAGGCAGACACTATTGTTTTTAAATATTTGCATATGTGCATTAGGTTTTATAACTTGTTTGCTCTGCATGGCTATTTTTAAGTGCTATCAGCCACTTGCCAGAACACCTTAGAAATGGATGCCTGTTTTCTCTGTATGTGATTACTATAGGAATATGATTACTACTGAAAACTTTAGGGATTGTGCCAGTGTTTCTCTGACTTGTGCAAGGCATTTACTGATGTCCCAAAGAACTGAACCGTTCTGTTCTGTTCATTATTCCTGATAATGCAGAGCTACAATCCAAGACATGCAGGATTATTTTAAAGTCACACAACTTTACCATATTTTCCACTTCATTTTTTTAGTATTTATTTATATCCTACCCTTGTTATTCATATAAATAAAATAACTCAAGGTGGCAAACATAACAAATGCTTCTTTCTCCTGTTTTTCCTCAGAACAACCCTGTGAGGTGGGTTAGGCTGAGAGAGAGTGACTGGCCCAAAGTCACCCAGCCGACTTTTATGCCTGAAGTGGGACTGGAACACATAATCTCCTGGTTTCTAGCCTGGTGCCTTAACCACTACCAGGGGCAGGCAACCTTGGCTTATTTATGACTTGTGGACTTCAACTCCCAGAATTCCTGAGCCAGCCATGCTGAGGGGAAAGGGAGAAGTTTCCATGCTTAGTCATGCTGGCTCAAGAATTCTGGGAGTTGAAGTCCACGAGTCATAAAAGAGCCAAGGTTGCCTACCTCTGCACTAGACTAAACTGGCTATCATTTTCTGTTATTCCATAGTTATGTACCCATAAAGTATCACATCTAGCTCAACTTGGCCTGCTTTCCAGGTTTGAGTTTTCCTTAACCAAACTGCCTTCATTTTTCTCACAGATTGCTTCCTGTTTATTTATGCTCTATTGCCGGCACTTTTCCCTTCAATTGTTTAATTATTTGTTGATGTTCCTTGATATCATGAGGGCTGAATTGGATGATTAGAATACAGCAAGACACAAATCTATTTATATAAGGTATTTCATCCCAATTACACGTTTCAGCCCTCCAATGAATTGTCCTTTGAAAGATGAATTACAGTTTTATTTCACATTTGATTTCCAGGTTTCACGTTTTGTATTTTCAGAACTTAAGAAAGTTGATCTGGTATCCTTACTTTTTCAATGCCATCCGTCTGTATGGACATTTAGTTGTTACTCTTCATTTCAAACTACTTATTTTCTTAAAAATATAAATGAGACTGTGAAAAAAAAATGATCCTGCCCAAATACATTACTCATTTCCTCTTCAAAATGTGCCAGAAAAATGGAACAATAAGTCCAAACTCGGAATGCTGGATGACCCAGTAAAAGAACTCAAAATAAATCCATCAAATGTTTTGCAACTTATTAAAAACTTATCAAAAACTGGTAAAGGATGGTGCAACAAGGAGGGACTCTCCCATCCTAACATGGCAAATTGAGAAATTTGATAATGGAGAAAGATTCCTTCCTTGCCCACTGAGGGGCAAGCAAGTACTCAAAATCCCTGATCTAAGAGCTGTGGCTACTTGGCCTTAATATCCTGATTTAATAGCCTTCAGAAGTCTTTTTTTTTTTTCAAAGCAAGATACAATCTGCAGCCTCCTACAATCAAGCCTTCAAAAGCCTGATTTTTAATATTACACAAAGAAAGGATTAAATACATATCTGGCAGTTAGTTCTAGTAATGGTATGTAATTTTAATTAAATGTAAATATAATGGGATCAGATTAATTTTACCTTGCCTCTATCCACTACTTTTTGGAGTGTGACCCTGGGCCTCATCTCTGAGGATTTATATATATACCCTGTTTTCAACAAGGTAAGGAGAACATGACTTTTGTAATTCTTTCCAAGTCACTTTATCAGCAGTAACCATAAGAACTTTCTATAGTTTCTTCTAATAAAGTAACCTATTCTGTTGGGCTGCATGTATCTATGAACATATATTTTTGATTTTTGCTGGAGATGCATCTCTGTGTATATAGGTGCTGCACTGGGAAACTGAGTAGGTTGCCTATGCTCTGCTGTGGCTGTGCTCTGCATGTGACTAGGAGAGATGCTTAGCGTGGAGGCGTCAGAATGACCCCAAGCCATTGTAGATTTTTCTCTCAACAGCCCTTGATCAAATCTAGCCCATTTTCAAACTTTTATCTCTCTTTCATGCAGTTGGTTAGTCCTTGACTTACAACAGTTCATTTAGTGATTGTTCAAAGTTACAACGGCACTGAAAAAAGCGACTTATGACCGCTTTTCACACTTACGACCTTTGCAGCATTCCCTTGGTCACATGATCAAAATTCAGTAACCTGGCAACTGACTGAGAGTTGGGTCATGTGACCATCTTTTGTGACCCTCTGACGAGCAAAGTCAATGGGGAAGCCAGATTCATATAAGAACCATGTTACTAACTTAACAACTGCAGAGATTTACTTAACTGGGACAAGAGGGGTCGTAAAATGGGGCAAAACGTACTTAACTACTGTCTCACTTAGCAACATAAATTTTGGGCTCAGTTGTAGTTATAAGTTGAGGATTACCTGTACTTTGGTTCCACCCTGTTCCATTCTCAGGGAGTTATCCTGCTGAGGGAGAGAACTGTTGTATAATTTATTTCCTACTATTCTTTGAGTTAGAACAGGGGTCTCCATACTTGACTGCTGTAAGATTTGTGGACTTATGGCTTACTGAGGAATTCTGGGAATTGAAATCCACAAGTCTTAAAGCGGCCAAGTTTGAAGACCCCTGAGTTAGAAATTTCTTTCTGGTTCTGGAATTATAGGTGAGTAGGTGGTTGGTTTCTTTTACCTGCAGCACTCAGTATAGATGCGTTCATTGAACAGTTGAGCTTCTGGGCTTTTTCAGATGACAAGGCTCAATAAGGTCCACCAACCATTGCCATTTCAATTGCACTTTAAAACGTAGTCAGTCATGGTCTAAGTTCCTCCAACCAATTTGGATGTTTGCAGAAGTCAAGGCATTATGACAGTAGAGAAGATCACATTCTAAGAAAGCTATAAGATGTGCAGAGTTTTGAGCTTTCAGATTAGAATCATAGGGCTGAGGGTCTTCTAGACCTGGACCCTGCCCCAATCAGGAATCCTGATACCATCCCAGACCAAATGGCTATCCAATCTTTT